CGCAGGTGCTGAGTTACACCGGGGAGGTGTGAACCGGAGTAGCTGGGGCGTCAGAGCCGCGCCTGGAAAGAGGCGGTGACCGCATGCCAGCCGCGGACGGGCCGTGTGGACACCCTCCGCCCGCTAGGGAAGGACCACAACCTGGGCTCTGGGTCCAGGGGATGTGCTGTCACTCACAAGGCATTTTAGGCGCAGGAGTGACTGAGTAATTTGTTGTGTTTTGACGATAACTGTGGCAGCACTTTGGAAAGTGGATCGGGGAGAGGAAAGAATGATTCTTGGTAGTTATGATAGACCAGCTTAGAGATGTGTCGGGTCCGAATCTGCATCTCGGGAGGCTTCTATCTCAGGTAGCAGAGTAAACAACATAGGAGGTCAGCAGGAAGAGTGCTTTGGGGAAAGCGAGTTTTGTTTAGAACATTAAAAGGCACCTAGTGTGACAATGAGGCCATTTGACAGATGACGAAACTGAGCCGAGGAAGTTAGGGACCGAATTAAGGGGCTTGTCTGAACTTGCAGCGAATTGGAGACAGAGCCTCAGCTTGAACACAGGTTTCCAGTGTTCCAGTCTGTTGTTCTTTCAACCTCAGGACAGTTACCTCATTAAAAGTGAAAAGAGAGCATTTCAGTGGAGATTCTGAAATTCAGAGGTGTAGGGGCTCTCAAATGTGGCTCCACTGGGTTCCGTGGGTCTGGGCCTTTTGGGGGTCCTGGTACAGTTGAGGAAACCAGCCCAAAGACAGAGACTGCCGGACATGTGCTGGCTCTTAGACAGTCCAGCCCTCTTTTCCACTCAAATTTTACAGTAAATGTTGGTTTGCCACTTTGGGGGTCTGGGGTGGACTTAGAAGTTGTAAAGTCACTCTTCTAGGTCTTAGTTGGTGGAGGAGACTTACCTTGCAGTCAGTTGGAATGATTACCCACTTTCTATGTGTAGAACTGGTAATAGTTTAAGTGAGTTTGTAGGGAAATTATCTTGGACTCCCAAAGGCTTATGGCCCAGAGATGAGAGCACAGAATAATGCAGTTCCCTCCATAGATTAAAAAACCTAAATCTGAAAGCTTGTGTGTATTTTTACAAAATTATTTCACACTTGTCTTTGGATCCCTGCAAGCCTACTAATTGTGCAAGAGTTTCAACTATTCCTTAAAATAATATTTGTGATAAAAGGAGTGTTTAACTAAATTCTAATAAATCAGACTTTTCTGTGATCTCTTTTTGACCAGCTGATAGAAGGTAGAAGTTATGCTTACATTTTTCATCAGGAATGACTTTTCTTAAAACTGAGCATGTTAAGTAGTTGATTTTGTAATTATACCAGTAGTGTCCAGGCATTTTTGCTAATGTGTATATTTTGGCTCTAAAATAGGTGGGTCGCTTGTATTTGATTTTTGGACAGACCAATTGTGTAACACTTACGAGTTTTATAGTTCTAATATTTTTATCCTTCCAAGGGAAATTTTTAAAAAGTTTTGCCCATAAATGGATAGTAGAAAAACTCCTCTGACCTTTCTGTTTTCAGTTCTTGCAGTATAAGCCAAACCACTGTTCCTTTTTTTTTTTTGGTAGTAACCTTTTAAGACCATTTTCTAATAAGTAATAAATTATTTACATACTTCTGTCATGCATTGTTGCTTCTGTATGACTTGATTTTTTTGTCATCAGTTTTATTGTATAATTTATGTACAATAAAATACACATTTTAACAGACCTTTAAGTTTTGACAAATGTATACAGTCCTTATTATCAGCACCCAAATCAAGGTTTCTGTCACTATAAGGATTCCCTTTTCTCCCTTGTAGCTGTTAGCTGCCTCCCACCTGCAGCCTTGGGCAACCACGGATTTTCTTTCTGTGCTGCAGATTATATTTGTCTTTTTTATGTTCTTCTGGATTCAGCATGCCAGGAATTGCACACTTTTCCATACAGGGCCACTTGGAAGCACACTGCGTGTACTCCTGTCTGACTTCTTTTCTCAGAACAGTGTATTCAAGATTATCCTTAATCAGTATGTTAAGTGTATATCTTGTCAGTAACTTACTCCTTTTTTTTTGGTGGTAAAATATACATAACTTAAAATTTGCCATTTTAACCATTTTTCAGTACAATTCAGTGGCATTAATTATATTCACGTTGTACAACCACCCTGATTTCCAGAACTTTTTCTTAATCCTTAAGCAGGAATTCCCCATTCCTCTCTCCCCTCCGCCCCTGATAACCTCTAGTCTGCTTTGTCTCTGTGGGTTTGCCTGTTCTAGACATTTCAGATAAGTGGAATCATACAATATCTGTCCTTTTGTGTCTGGCTTATTTCACTCAGCATATTGTTTTCAAGGTTGAACCATATTGATGCCTGTATCAGTCCTTCATTTCTTTTTATGGCTGAATAACATTCCATTGAATGGAATTCAATAGATATTATAGACAGAATATTACTACAAACTTGGTGTGGGAATTAACTTATCAATATAATTTTGTATGTTCTAGGAGGATGGACTCAGGCAAGTTCTGGAGGAGATGAAAGCTTTATACGAACAAAACCAATCTGATGTGTAAGTTGATAAGACTGATATTTTAAAACAACTTAAGAAATAAGGTATTGAAATCAGATAATCTTACATTAGTCTTTAGATAATGATTTTTTTTTTAAATTCTCTGTGAGCCTGATCATACCCTTACCATACAGGCCTGGAGGGATTTGTGTTAAGCTGCTGTATTTCTGGGGGTTCAAATAGTGCTTGGCACATCGTAGATGTTCAATAAATATTTGTCATTTGACGATACGACTTGGTATTGGGTCTGTCTCTTATCCCCGTGTGATAAAGACATTCCCCAAAGTGAGGAAACACGATGTCTGTCTTTTGGAGGCAGTGGAGAGTAACTGTGCCAAATGCGGAGTACCACATGTCTAAGCAAAACCCCGGGGGGTGTGATTCTAGGCAGATAAGCTTTTGGGCTTTTTATCTTTTAATGTATTAGCAAAACTCTGCTGTGGAGTATTTGGGTACATTAACTGTTAACATAAATGGATAAAAACAAGCATGCAGTCAGCTGTTGGCTTTGAAAAGGCTTATTCTGAAGTAGACTTTCTTTTCCTCCCTAAATGTTTTACCAGGAACGAAGCAAAGTCAGGCGGCCGAAGTGACCTGATACCGACCATCAGGTTTCGACACTGCTCTTTGCTGAGAAATCAGCGCTGCGCTCTAGCCTACCTGTGAGTGCCTCTGGGGTGGCAGGGAGCTGCAAGGGGTTCCCCTGTGGTTTCCTAATTAGTCATTTCAGATGGATAACCAACATTCTTAGATTTGTCTCTCCTTTATAAGCATGCTAAATTCTTTTTCCTCCGTTCAACTTTTTATTATGAAAAACTGCAGGATTCATAATATTAGGGAATAACATGAAACCCTCATGGAGCCATCATAACCAAAATGTTAGGTTTAACAGTCCTGACATTTTGCTATAGTTGCTTCATCTTGTTTTGTTTGTCTGCTAAACCACTACAGAGCATTGTGGCATTTGACCACTGAATACTTTAGTATGCACCTCTAAGAAATAAGGACCTTTGGTACCTTTTGTCATGTGGCCGCTGTACCATTCTCAGAGCGAGAGAATCGAACACGCTGTCACTGTGTCTGTCCAGTCTGTGTCCCTGTCCTCCCAGTTGTCCCAAAGGTGTCTCCCGACAGTGGCTGGTTTGCCTCAGGAGCCTCATGAGGTCCACGTGTTACATTTCATTGTTGTGAGTCTTGGGTCTCTCCTGATCAAAGCAACTTCTGATACCCTTCTGTTACACCCTCTAATACCTTGTTAATGCCCTAGGTACGACCGATTGCTTCGGATTAGAGCGCTCAGGTGGGAATATGGCAGTGTCTTGCCAAGTGATTTACGATTTCACATGTCTGCTGAAGAAGTAAGTTAGCACTGTTCAAGTTTATGAATTTGGAAAACACTGAGATTCTGGCATTGTTCTATAACAGTATTTATGGTATTTCTCTTCTTGTCTTAATATTTGTTTTTCTGCAGTTTTGGTCTGTATTTACTGTGTGCTGTGATGAGAATGGCAGGAGTGATTCTAAATGCTATGTGGAAAACTCTGCTATGACTTATTAGGGATCATCAGTAGGATTAAAATCACTGGCATCGTTATTTAGAGATTTTCATAAATTATGTGTGTACATACTTTCCTTGTCAACGTGAATATCTATGATGAATCCAGTCACTGAGGCACAGAGCTGGCTCAGTATTTAAGGACACAGAGTCATGCAAACTTGGATTCAGACCTTGGCTCTGCCACAGTCACATCTTGGGCAGGTGATTCAGTCTCTCCCTGTGTCTAAATCTCCTCGTCTGCAAAGTGAGGGCCAAAGTGCTTACCTGTTACAGGGCTGCAGTGTCTTCAGACACCAGCTTCCTAGAGTGAGAGCAGACTTCACAGGGTGAGACTGCCCTCAACCTTAGACACCAGTTGTAAGTTTGGGGGTTCCCAGGGCCACCCTCCCTTCTGGCCAACTGGCTACAAATTCAGGGGTTCCCACCATCCCCTCAGGCTTTTAGCCTCTTGATATCAGCCCAACCACCGGAGAGGAGAGGGGAGCTGGACGTAGACCCTCAGTCACCTGTGAGCTGGTCTGTCGTGCAGATGTAATGACACCCCAGAGCTGTGAGCGTCCCTGGTTGACAACACGTCCATGTGCCAGGAGGGTGTTGTATCCTGAGTCTACAGTGGGAGGACCCTCCCAGATCTCCCCCGTGTGTCTCTGCCTTTGGCTGGTTCTGACCAGTGTCCCTTTAAATGCAGTAAAACCATGACTTTTAAGTGGATTGCTTTCCAGGGCTCGAGTCATTTTGGCAAATGGTTGACCCTGAGGGAGGGATGGGTGTGTCCGCGCATGCACACACATTCCCGATGCAGGCTATGAGGATGTCTTCCGCAGAGCCTTCCAGGAGTTAGCTTGCTTACCAGCCCCAAAGAGGCCTACAGTGCGGGGACTGATTCTTGTGTTTGATGGGAGAGTTGGGTAGCGTTTTCAACATGGGGACTGAGATGGCACCGTTTCTTGAAAAGCCCCTCTTTTCCCCCTGCTCCGCGCACAGTGCCACTTTTGTCATAAATTGAGCATCAGCGTGTCTGGATTTGGATGGGAGACTTCTGCTTGTCCTTGCGCTGGCTCCACGCTGTTTTAACTCTCCTAATTTTATAAGTCTTGAGTCAGTATTCCCTTCTTATTCCTCTTTTTCAAGTGTCTCAACTGTTTTTGGCCTTTTGCATTTCCATGCAAATTTTAGACTCAATTTGTCAAGTTTCATTTTTTAAAAAGTTGACGTTTTGATTGAGATTGAATTGAACCTGTAGGTCAGTTGACATTAATATGAGACTGACTCATGCAGTCCATGAGTGTGGGATACCCTTCCAGATATTTAGGTCTTCTTTGATGTCTCTCAACAATTATAAGAAAAGCACCAATATACTGAGATACAATTTACATACCATGAAGTCACCCTGTTAAAGTATCTTGAGAGAGATGTGCGCCTGTCAACACCCTGTCCAGAACATGTTCTCTCTCTGCTTCCCTGCCCCTGGAAACCACTAACCTACTTTCTCCATAGATTTGCCTAGGTTGGATTTTCCATATGAGTGGAATTGCGCAGTATGTGGCCTTTCATGTCTTTTACCCGGCATGTTTTCAAGGTCCATCCACGTAGTAATTGCGCACTGGAAGTCCTTTCAGACTTTGGGTTGGATAATCCCATTGTGGGGTTGTACACGTCTTATCCCTTCATCGGTTGATGGACATTTGGGTGTTTTCTCTACATTGTTTCATAGTTTCAGAGAAAACATCAGTATGGAGTTTAACAGAGTTTGCAGAGATCATAATTCTGAAATGGTGTATTTTTCAGAGTTCAGGTTTTGTTGGAAAGTTCCTTAGGTCTGCGATTAAGTATGCTGGGATGCAAGTTCTGTGAGAACAGGTTTTTGTTCACTTTGATAAATGATGCTTCCTAAGACCCCAGGCCAGTGCCTGGTTCATGGCAGGCGGTCGGTAATATTTGTAGTTTAGATGAATGGTAGTTGCAGTAACGATCCCTGTGGGGAGTGTGCTGTTTTTGAAAGGATGATGTACAGTTTCTGCAAGTCTGTTTTCTTATAACTTTATCAAATGGCCACCTTTATGTTTTCAGATGGAGTGGTTCAATCACTACAAAAAGTCCCTTGCTACTTACATGAGATCCCTGGGAGGAGAGGAAGGTTTGGACATCACACAGGATATGAAGCCTCCCAAAAGCCTATACATAGAGGTAACTGTCCCTTTGTAAACGGGTTTTCTTTAACGCATAGACTCTGCTGGCTTGTCTGAGGAGAAGCGGGATGTGGGCATGTAGTAGCCGTGCAGGCACACCTTGGAGATATCGCAGATTTGATTTCAGACCCACAGTAAAGCCAACATGCGGTAAAGCAAGTCACACAAAGTCTTTGGTTTCCCAGTGCATGTAAAAGTTGTGTGTACACTACATCGTGGTCTATTAAATGTGCAGCAGCAGTGTGTCTAAAAAACAATGAACATACTTTATTGCTAAAAGATACTGTCATCTGATAATGCAAGGCTGCCACAAACCTTCAATTTGTGAAAAATAGGTTACCTGAGAAGCACAAAAAGCAAAGCACACACACAAACAACATAAACCCAAACCAAAAATGCCACCTGTAGGGGCAGGAAGAATAGGACGGAGTAGATGAAACTTTCTGACTGGACCTGTTCTAACAGTTTTAACTTTGGAACTGTGTAAATATGTTACTTTAAAGCACATAAAATTGACTGTGTTTCCCTAATGGGTGTATTCTAAGGGTGGGAAGAAGTGCAGAGAGCTCTTACCCTGTCTCCAGTTACAGCAGTAGTCGTGGTAGTAGTAGTAACAGTATTGTTACTGTTATTTGTAAACAGTGTATGAATTGAGGAATAGAGCAAAACGGTAACAGCGTGGACGCCCGTTGAATCATCTCTTTCAAAGAAGTGTTTCTTAGCGCTGCCCACTGAGGAGGCTTGGGAGCTGTGACCAGCCCCGCATGAGCATCCGCTTCCTGGGGTCCAAGTACCATTTCCCCCGTGAAAGGAAGCCAGGACTCCTGGGGAAAATGGCCCATTCCAGGTCTTGAATAGGTAGGAAGTGTACCAGCTGAGCATGGAAAGCAAAGAGGGCATCATGGGCTCCACGGGGAGGGCTGCCCAGGCTCGGGAGCGGGCTCAGAGGGGCTGGCGTTCCCTGGGGAAGCAAACTGAGCCGCAGAATGACTGATGGCAGTGAATCGTAGCACTTCAGTTACGTAAGGAGCAAGAATGATAACACCACCAAACAGCAACAGTAACAATTTTAACACCGAAACCTCTTCGGGGCCCCTTGGAGAATACAAAAGAGGCACCTCATTTTGAAAAGTGGTGAATAAGAGAATGGAGAGAAGCCTCCACCCTCCTTTACTGCGCAGATTCAGTCTCAGGGAAGCCAGACTGTTTGCAAGAGAAATTTCTTTTTGTAGAAGAATTCCAGCTAATGAAAGGAGCAGGAAGGAAAGGATGAGATGAAGGCCGTTTTGTAGCCCTAACACAGGCAAATAGCTGCTACACCAGGAGGTGGAAGAGCTCTTAAATCATGGGGGTGTGGGTGGGCGGGAGTGGTGCGCAGACCCACTGGTCAGTCTCAGCATCCAAAGAGACTCCAGACACTTTGTGCTTCGTGACATCAGGACACCGTTTGCCTGGAAGCTAAGCCTGATCTGATCCAGCCCCTGTACCTAACTTCCACTTTAAAGGAGATTCTGGGATGGAGGAACATGTTACATGACCCCACAGGAATCCACAACAAAATCTAGTTTGTGGGAAACTACCAGACAGACTGCCCAGTTTATTTAACAGATAAATCGCCAAGGGGGAGAACCCTGCAGATGAAAATGGACTTGGAGGCGTCAGAAACATGCAACGTGCAACTCTTGTTTGAGTGATTTTAATGTGGCAACTTTAAAAACATTATGAGATGAATGGGAGAATTTGGATACCAACCAGGGTTTTCATGATATTTAAAAATTACTACTTACTAAGATGTGATAATGGTGTTGAGGGCTTTTTTTTTTTGAAGAAGAAGAACCTTATTTTGTAGTAATAGGTACCAAAATATTTATTAATTAAATGAAATGACGTCTAGGATGTGCATCAGAGCTCCCCAGAAGTGGTGAGGGAACCAGACTGGCGACGTGTTGGTGATTGTTGAAGCTGATGGGTCGTGGGGTTTTATTAGTCATTTTACCTTTGAATGTGGTTGAGATTTTCCACAATAAAAATCTATTTAAAGAAGCAAAATGGTGGTAGTGGAGGGGGGGATTTTTCTAAAATAGTGTCGCTCAAGCTAAGTCAGAATGCCTTTGGGATTGGCAGAGCAATCACAGGGCATGAGATCATCCGGGAAACGTAGGGGACTGAGACGGGGTTGGCTGTGCTCATACCACACTGATGCTGGGGCTCGGACTCTCAGGCAGAGGAATGCGTCCTCCCGCTTCGCTGGGGCGGCTCCTGGAGCTGGGCCAGGTCCCAGACCTCTGGGGCCCTGTCGAGGTTCCTTCCTTGCGGTCTCAGAGGTCATCAGGCTGCCTCACCCCTCCCACCTTCAGCTAAGAGCCTTCCGGGGGAGGGGACAGGTCAGAGGTAGAACGCGTGCTCAGCAGGCAGCAGGTCCTGGTTTCAGTCCCCAGAGCCTCCATTTAAAAAAGGGGAAAAAAAGAGCCTCTCCTGATTGTGTAACACGAGTCTGCCTCCGTTCTCTCCCAGAGCCCTGCTAAGCAAGCGTCCGCGTGGTGACGGAGAGTGGAAGAGTCTTCAAAACAGAAATGTTGCTGCCTTACATCCCATCCTCAGACACTGGTGTTTTATGGGAGGGATCTGGGAGAGGACGTTGGAGCAAGTGGGAAACATTCTCTTCTCTTTGTAGACATGTATTTCAGCTGCTTTGGTTTTTCAGGATTTGCAGAGGGATGAGAATCCAGTGATGTTGTCTCTCTCTGGCAGCAACCTGGGTTTCCTTACTGCCAGCGCTGATGTCCACATATTCAGAAATTGGCCATTTTGCTTCCTCCCCATCAGAGCAGGGCGGTTGGAACCACGAATACCACAGCAGGGAGAACCAGTCCCAGTACCCAGAGAAGAAACAGGAGACAGCCCCATGCCCTCCCTGCGGGTGCACACACAGTCCCCATCCACTTTGTGGTCGCTGCTTGTTAAATAGTTGAGGTAAAACATCAATTTTTCCTTTCAGGTGCGGTGTCTGAAAGACTATGGGGAATTTGAAGTTGATGATGGTACTTCCGTCCTTTTAAAGAAAAACAGCCAGGTATTCACTGTCTTAGGATAGTTTAAGAGTGTTGAATGATCGAAATGTTAGAGTTGGTAGCAAACAACTGTCTCCTTGGGGTGATCATTTGTGTCATAGTATGTTTAATTTAAGATGCTCTGTTTTGTCCTTTTCCTAAACATAAAGACTTAAAGCCATTGTTGCAGATAGTAAGAAACGGTTAATCACAGCTGACTCTTGAACGACGTGTGGGGTTCAGGGTGCCAGCCAACCCCCCAGCCCCACACGGTCAGAAATCCGAGCACTGCCATTTCTGCCTCAAAAACAAAGGAACTGATAGACGGCTCACCTGAGGGCAGGAAGCCGGGACAGTCGGGGTAGAGTCAGGACCCAAACCCTAGTTCTTTTGATTCCACATATTATGATCTCTGATTGAACACAGACTTGTTAATTTAAAGATCTGTAAAATGAAAGCACAGGTTATATATGACACATGTAAGTGGAGCCGTGCAGTTCAAACCCATGTTCGAGTGTCAGCTGCAATTTGCTTGGGTTTTGCTTGAATTTAATACCGAGCATTTTCCTGCGAAATTACCACAGTGGGTCTCACTCTAGTTAACAGGCTATTTGTTGCATTTAGCTCCTTCAAATTATTATTTATTAAAAAGGTGCTAAGCACTTGTTTTTAGTTTATACTTCTTCACATTTTAAATGCTAGTTCTTTAGCAAGCAGTGATATGGATCAAAAGTTTCTAAGCATTTAATACATAAACATAACAGCTTAATAGGGAAAGACTGAAGGTGACGTTGTAACCTACCCTCAATTTTTCCTTAGAAAGAATCTCAGTGCATTTATTGTTTCCTTAGAAATCTTCAAGTTCACGTTAGATGAATCGCGTGAGCTATTTTATTTTTCCCTGTCTCAACTTTCTGTAGTCACACTAGCATAGGAGGGAAGATGGCCTGGTGAAGACCACTTTCCTCTGTTACCTGCCACCTTGCTGTCAGACGGGTGTCATCTACTGACCCCTCGTCCCTGACGTTGAAGCCAAAGAATGCTTCCAGTTGGGTGGTTCTCGGCTCGTTTCCCTGAGGGTGAGCGGGTCTCTTATTTTGCTAGTACCCTTGGAACTTTAAATAGTTTCCTAAAACAAAGGTTGAGTTTTTTAAAGACAGGTTTTCAGGGTGTCCTAAAATCTTTAGTTGTTAACGGCAAAAATTTCCCTCCCAAGCATCCTCTTAGAAGTAGGGTACTGCTGAGTAGAAAGTGTGAGTTAATGCTCTCGTAGTAGCTGTGTCTGGAGGACCCAGTGTGACGCTCTGGCTCACAGGAACAAAGCCAGCCTCATGAAGCAGGCTCTGAGAAGTGCTCTTCATCCCAGACGCCGTCTTGCGGCTGCACTTCTTCCCAGGCTCTGGCCAGCCCTCCCACCCGACGTGCTAGGACACTGACTCCTCAGCGGGGAGAGCCTGGGCGGGCTGGGGCGGCCGGAACCCGGCCGGTCCCTCCTCCGCCTGCTGCCCTGCTGGACACTGCTGTTTCTGTGTGGACCGTGCCGCAGCCTTCCTCTTGCTGAAACTTTGTCTCAGTATCGCCGTAGAAAAACAGGAAAGCGGCAAGGGATAGCTCTGTGGTAGAGCGTGTGCTTAGCTTGCAAGTGGTCCTGGGTTCAGTCCCTGGCGCCTCCACGGTGTGGAAGTAAACCACCCCTCCCCAGTGAATGAACGGACAAATGAATTAAGGAAAAAAGCCGGAAAAACATTTTAGAAGCATAATTTATGGTAGTTGATGTAAGGGGCTTCGGAAATGTCTGAGCACACCTGAAACCAGTTTCTGTGGAATCAAGAGTGTAGACCACCCACATGATGGGAAACATCCCCCTCCGCACATTCTTCTGCTCTTGTCAGGGTGGTGAGCATGCTTCTGGTCGGGAATTCAGAGCCCCCTCTTTTCAGCAGACATTGGAGTAACTTCACTGTTGGGCTGCGGGAATGTTTGAAATGTATATGAAATGCTGCTTTTTAATGATGCAGGATGTAATTTAAAACTCTTCTCCTTCCTTCCTTCTCCCCTCCTTCCCTCAGCACTTTCTGCCCCGGTGGAAGTGTGAACAGCTGATTAGACAGGGCGTCCTGGAGCACGTGCTGTCGTGACCCGAGCTGCTGCCAGGCCCCCGCTGGTGTGGGGCTGGACCCGACCAAGGATGCTGCTCCTCTCCCCTCTCCACCTCCCCTCGGCCCACCTCTCTTTGGTTTTAATACTTACATTCTTTAAGATAACCAGGCATGATTGGTGGAAGAATACAGTTTGTTCTTTCCGATTTCTCTTTTATTTAATTTCTGAATAGAATCCCCTAACCTTCCATGGTGAACCTGTTTTTGGATTTGTCATGTGCTTCCATTGTGAAGCATCATTTCTCAATTCAGAGTTTGAATTCTTGCCCTCTAGAGACCCTACGTCCCCCACCCTGCGGTCCACAGGCCCAGTGGCCAGGAGTCCAGGATCGAGGCTCTGGCAGATTTGGTGCCTACAGAGGGTGCTTCCTGGGTCCACCTTCTCACTCTGTCCTCACAAGGTGGAAAGTTGGGTTTCTGTTGTACAGGATCCTCCTCTTTGTGTAGTAAGCTGAATCTGTAATTACATCCTTGCAGTTCCCAGAATAAATACCACAGTGTGTTTTTGTGTAATGAAAGTAAACATGTTACATGTGGATCTCTTCTCAGCAGTGGGGAAGGGTCTCAGCTGGCTGTGTAGGGAGACAGGGTGTGCCTTGTGTGGCTCCTGGTCGTGCTCCCTGTACCAGCCGGGGTCCCTGCAGCTCCTGTTTCCAGGTCACATGGTCAGGGGAGGTGATGGTCTAAGATTTTCAGTGTATTGATTGTTTAATGACAGGCTAACGTATTGTCTGGCTATTTGGGAAGGAAGGACACAGTGGATTTTTCCCATTTCCTGCACTGGTGGCTGATGTGGCTGGAAAGGGGAATAGAAATTGAGGCTAGAAAAGGGAGTTCGAGTGGTTCCCCCCTCCACCGAGTCACACTCACCATAAAGTCACGTGAAGAGCTGGTCAGCTGGGTGGAGGGCAGTTCTCATTGCCCGATGTTCTGTGAGTGATAGGAACTGGACAGTGGTGGTCAGTGGCCTTTCGCTGCCAGTCTCCTCCATAACCAGCCCAGTAATCTCAGAGGCAATCAAGTACAAAGTCCAGATAAGCCCGGTACCTGGCACAGGCTGTGCAGCTTCACTCTTACATAGGAGACTGTTTCTGGCCAACATGGTGCTCAAGTCCACCTGTGGAGAGAGTCTGCCGAGGCTGTGGGTTGCACGTTCTCAGGGTACGCGAGTGCACGTGCTCAGGTCAATAGGCGGCCCTCGACCCATTGTGAGCCTGGAGTCCTCGAGTCGGCGTGAGGACGGACCGCAGTGCAGGCGTTGCCACGCCGCCAGCCCAGCCTCGTTCCTGAGCTGACGTGATGCGCTCTCCTGTTCAGTCCCAAGTGAAACAGTAAGTACAGGCCTTATTTGAGATGAATGTGCGCTAGTTGAAAAGTTAACATTTTGTGGGTTTTATTGATTTACGTTGGCTGGCTCTCTAGAATTGTGGCTAGAATTTTAAACATCTATCTTATATGATTTTTTGCTTAAAGAGGTAATATATGCACAGTTAAAAAGGAAAACATAGCCCTGTAATGTAGAAAATGAAGCAAGTTCCCCTTCCACCTACTGAATGCCACCATCCAGGGTATCCACTGTTAACTAGTCACGTGTGTAAAGCGTAACTGCATTTCTTTTTAAGTGTTTCCCCACGTATTTCTAGTGTTTGTTTCTAGTGTGAATGGAATCCCTTTTTAAAAAAAATGTGGGGGGGTGACTAGGTTTATTTATTTAGTGGAGGTACTGGGGATCGAACCTGGGACCCTGTGCATGCGAAGCAGGCACCCGACCACTGAGCTAGAACCTCCCCGCGGAGTCCTTCTTGTGTGGTATTTTCTGACTAGTTTTCGGCTGATACGTACAAAACCGCGCATTACGATGGTTTGGCCATCTTCTCGTATTTATGTAAGCTCATGTCTCTTCTCACGTTGATCTTGTTCTCTTGAACTTTCAGGAAGTGGTTGCCTTCTGCAGCTCACAGCTGGAAGCTTACCTTCTACCTGACTTGATTGAAATGCCAGGCTTCTAATGTTTCTGTCCCATGCTTCTCCAGGAAAAATACTAAAACCTGTGGCCTCCCTCAGTGCCACCTGAAGCCCCCAAATAAATTCAGCACCGTAACAAAATGAACCGGGGTAATTAACAAGCAGGGTTTTCCCAGGTGCACTTTTGGAACTTGAGTCATCATAGATGGTTTCTCACTTAATTCCCTGAAGTTACAAATTGTATGTAAAGAATTTTATTGTTGAACTGTCTTGCATTCCACTTGTAACACTGCTCTTGGCCACGGCGTGTTAGCCATTCGAGGAAATGCAAGGTGTGACTGACTGACTTTCTGGGAAGGTTGCGGCTGTGGCTGATGCTGGCTTATAGTGTTTGGGAAAAGGCGAACGTGTACGTGTTCATGTATGTGTCTACGCTTTGTCAGTGTTTGCAGTTATCTGTTCCTACGAAAAAAAAATCCAAACATAGTGGCTTTAAAGCCACACCACTTTGGTAACTCTCCCAGTTCTGTGAGTTGACGAGGTTCAGCTGGGAGGCTCTGCAGATCTTGCGTGGGGCCCCTGAGGCGGTCACATTCAGACGGCGGTCTGGCTGGGAGGGCTCAGCTTCCCGTGTCCGAGTGGGGTCTCCACGTGGTTCTCCAGCAAGCGGCTGGGCCTCACATGGCACCTGGGGCCCCTGCGGAGCTGGGAGGTGGATGTGGGAGCTGCTGGTTTTCTGAACGGCCAGGCCTGGTGCTGTACTCGCACTGTTTCTGCCACAGCCTGTGATTACTGCAGCCAGAGGTGCCCAGGCTCGGGAGGCCCCCAGGGCCAGGCATCGCTTGCTGGTGTCCTTAGGAGAGCTCGCTTTCTTGTCTACCTTTAATAGAAATGTGAGTTTTAAGATAGCATGAATACCTATGGAACCACCTGAGTATGAATCTTTCTGGAGAGAGATGAATTTTTTTTATTTTCCTTAGTTTGTGGTCAAACTTTTTGCTTTTTAAAGTAAATTGTAGTTAATCGTGTTTTTAAAATATTTTATTCTATAAATATTTATTCTATATTTTGCAGTGTATTAAGGTATTTTTTCCTTTTCTGTACACAGGTCATTCCTAATATGTATCTGTTTTCCCTTTTTTCTCTTGGTCGTATAGCTAAAAAAGGTTATCTGTAACGAAGATGTATTAATCTTTTGGGATGTAGAGAATGGAGATGTAGATTTCAGATGATTTATTGCTTTTCACAGTTCATAGCATTTTAGGATGAGCTGAATTTATTGTTTTATAACTTCACAAAAAAACACTTAACGTTTTCATGTAGTAAAAATGTAACCGCAAGAAGGCAGCCGTCAGCAAGCCCAGGACAGAGGCCTCAGAAAAACAAACTTGCCAACACCGTGACCTTGGATTCAGCCTCCAGGATTCCAAGGAAGTGGATTTCTGTTGTGAAGCCACGCAGTCTGTTTTGTAGCGGCAGCCTCCGCAGACGAAGAGGCGCCCGCACTTCTGAGAGGGTCTGCTTCCCTGCCGACGGCGCTTGGACAGTTTGCGCCCTTTCGCTGTTACAGACACAGCTGGGTCAGTAGCCTTGTGCATGCGTCGTTCGCTGTACATACAGCTTTGTGTGGGGGAGAATTTTAATTCTGATGGCACAGATGTAGGAATTGTAATTTCTCCTACCACCAGAGATGAAGGAGTCGCTCCCCCCACCCCCTTTGCTCACAGAACGTTTCCAGTTTGGGGCTGTTGCACACATGTTCAAGTCTTTTATGGACACGTATTTCCTTTCCTTTGGGGCAAATAACTAGAAGTAAAATGGATGGGTCATGTTGTAGGTGTGATTTTAACTTAAGAAACTGGCATGCTGCCCCGAGATGGCTGTGCATTTCGTATTCACGTCAGCGCTGTACGAGTTCTAGTTCCTTCGTGTGCTCCACAGGACTTGGCAGGATTACCCTTTCTGATTTTACCCGTTCTAATAGCTGTAAGGTGCTAGCTCACTGAGATTTTAATTTGCATTTCCCTGGTGACCAAGATGTTGAGTATCTTTACATGTGATTATTTGGAATGTATATCTTTATTTGGTGAACATGTCCAGATCTTTGTCCATTTGTTGAAAAATTAGGTTGTTTTCTTGTTGAGTTTCAGGAGTTCTTTATACATTCTGGATGTAAGTTCTTTAGGAGATCACGCTTTGCAAAGGTTTTCTCCCAGTTTGTGGCTTGTCTGTTCTTTTTCTTAACAGAATCTTTTGAAGAGCAGACATTTTAGTTTTGATAAATTTATTCATTTGTTTTATTTATGCTTTTGGTGTCATATCTAAGAAATCTTTTCCCAGTCCAAGGTCACAAAACTTTTTTCCCTTCATCTAGAAGTGTTATAGTTTTAGGTCTTACACTTAAGTCCATGACCCATTTTGAGTCAAGTTTGGTATATGGTGCGAGGTGTTGACCAGGGTCATTCGGTGGGGGCTACATGCGGGATACCTGGCTGCTCCAGTACCTTTTCTTCACAGGACGTGAGTGAGTGGTTTGCCGCGCCGAGCACTGCTATGCGCAGAACAGGCCGTGGGGCCGCGCTTGCCCACCCTGTTCTGCTGCTTGACGGCGGTAGTGACTGTCCTGTTTCCTTCCTCCTACTGATTTTGGGTTTAATTTGCTCCTTTTCTGCTTATTTAAGGTAGAAGCTGAGGTCACTGATTTGAAGCCTTTCTTTTATAGCCCAGTTGTTTAGTGCTATGAATTTTCCCCTAAGTGCTGCTTTTGCTCCACCCTACACATTTTGGTATGTTTTCATTTTCAGTCAGTTTGAAACTTGTTGTAATTTTCTTTGTTTGGTGGGTAATATCCGTTTGCAACTATTTGGGGATTTTCCAGATCTCATTCTGGTCTTGAATCCTAATTTAGAAGAACCCACTTGGTGTTATCCTCTCCAGAATCTGCTCTTCCCTTCCATCCAGTGCTTTAGGGCTGTTCTCATTCAGCCTGTACAGTAAGTGACCGACAGACAGGAGGAGGCACCGCAGCTTCAGGACAGTGGGTAGGGTCTGCACTTCTGTCTAAATCTTGTAGGAGAATGTTTTTCATACATCTAGTTGGTGGGCATATGGCTGTTTAATTAAAAAAATACCTAGAAGTTTAATCAGTTTTAAGAGAAAAGGACTTTATTACAAATACAGTGACTTCATATTACAGTAGCTTCTTATGATAAACCAAATGACCATAATTTATGTATATTTTTGCATATAAAACTATACCTTTTTTTTAAACATATAATACACTTTCCAGTGTGACGACCTGTCACTGAGGATAAGATTGCATCCACAACAGACACCACCCTCCCTGAGTCCTCAGCCCTAAACTCCGCACTGTCCACACCTCCCCCGGGGAGCAGGCCCTGAGGAAAGGCCTTCCCCTCCTCCACCCCCACTGCCCTTCTGGAGCCTCCATGGAGCCGCCCTCAAGGATGCTGATGGCTGAAGCTGAGCAGTGACGCTCAGACTGCACAGGGCGCTGCCGCTGCCCTCAGTCTCTTTAGCCGGGGTCAGCAGTGTAGCACTGACGTGGCTTCACTGCACCGTCCGCCTTGCTGGGAGCCCACAGTCGGCCTCACTGGGAACAGCAGCATCAGCACTTCTACCTGACGGAGCTGGAAATGGAAATTACCCGTGACCCCTAAAAGCACGTGGTCTCTTCCAGCGTGTTTTCCCCGCATCTGGCCCAGCAGACCTTCGTTGAATGTCTGTGGCAAACGAGGAACCACAGTCCTCACCCGTCCAGGAGTGCACGGCCAGCAAGCCATCAAGGGGCTTACTTTTAAAGGATGTTCCTCCGAAATGACTTCCAGGAGCAAAAGCCGTCCTTACACAGAGAGGGACGCTGACGCCACCTTACTGATGAGTTTGTTGAGCGCTCTAACTTTTTCCTCCAGGAACCGGGTTTTTCTTTCGGCACCCCGTTGCTTCTCTTCAGTGACCTGAAGTGCTTTCATCAGGTGAGCATTTTCCACGTAAAGGTCCTTGAGCAGCAGGTCAGACTTCGTGTTCTTTTCAAACTGGAGAGGGGAGAAAGCCACACCGTACTTGTGAGTCTAGCGCAGAAATGCCATGCGACCAGCTGGCCCCTCCTCATCGTGCACGTTTGTTCAGACCATGGTGTTGGGGTTTTACAGATTGGAAACAAACATGGGATGTAATGACAGTTTTTAGTTATCATAGCGTGAGAGGAAATTCAGAATCTGGTGAACTAGGCCAACTTTGTACGAATTGATTCTACCAAAAAATGAAGACAAAAAGCCCAAGATCCACTGGCCTCAAAAAGGACTGTTCTGGGCAACATAAAACAAGGAAATCATCAGGAGTGCCCAGACATCTTGTCCACGTCTGTGTGCTCTGCAGGCCCATCGCGCCACCCGGATGCACTGAGGCGCGCGAGCCGGTCACCACGCACTCAGCTGCCATGGGGTGTTGGTGATGGGCGTGCAGGGCCACCGAGTTGGGGCGCAGAGGCACGGGCGTCTTGGGCTTTGTGAGTCAGCGCTGAGTCCACCCACCCAACAGGCAGTACTGAGCAGCCCCCTGGCTCGGCACTGCCCTAGCAACCGCCCGGCTCACGGAGACAGACCAGAAACAAGCCCGCATGCAGCACGTGCTGAGAGAATGCCCAGGAGGGGACATGGCGGAGACCGGGTGACAGGTCTGAGGAGGTTGCAGGGGGCGCTGCTGAGGCTGTCCGGTGGAAACAGTCCAGGCAGAGGCTGGCGCACGTGCGGTGACAGGAAGGACCAGGCGGCCTGTGGCCGGGCAGGGTGCCAGCGGAGGGGACTAGATCCTACAGAACCTTGAAGGCCACTGTAAAAACTGCCTTTTACTCTGAGCAAGACTGGACGGTTCTGAGCAGAGGATGGCCAGCACCTCCGTCACATTTGAAAAGGACTGCTGCTCCTGAGAGCAGACCAAAGGGGCAAAGAAGGACTAAGTTTAGGACCCAGAAGATGGGGGGTAGGGGTGGTGGGAACGGGCGGGAGGTGGAGGGCTCTGTATGTGTGCTGCAGGCGAAGATGGTCACCCTGTGGGAAGGGGTCACCCTGGGAGGGGGTCCACCATGACGCCAAGGCTTTGCACCTGGGCGGGCAGGCAGGTGAGCACAGACAGCTCTGAAGGTCCCTCTGTGAAGAGGAGCAGAGACCTAGCAGGACCCGGGCTGCAGAGGGAGCGCCAAGGAGGCACTGGGGCCCCGGGGAGGGAGGTGGCACCAGCACGCACTCTTGGCACAAGTCTGGTCCTCCACTGACACAAGCAGGAGCCTCAGCTGAGAGGCGAGGGGAGAGGAGCTGGAGGTCAGAGACAGGAGGAGGGCCCTGCTGAGGGGGACGGCTGGGCTGTGGGTGGCACCTGACGCCCTCCGTGTGCAGCCGTCCATGGGATGTACGCCGGGCTGGGGTTTTGCCAGGTGAGAGGAGGCAGGTGAGGCTGTGCCAAGAGTGGTGGCCGGGGGGTCACTGACAGCCTGGCAGCTGGGAGGGGAGGTGCGGACCCGGAGACAGACAGGGGGCGCCAGTGCCAGCTGGAGAGGGGCCGCACAGGTGGGGGCAGCCCGCAGAGTGGCCTGACTGGGGGCCTGCAGCTCCAGGCGCCTCAGATGGCCACACGTGATGGCTCTGTGACGGGGGGTTTCTGCAGACCCCTGTTTCTCACTCCTGTGGCACCAGAGCTCTTGTTGGATGGTTGTGGCCTCCCCTCCCTCTGGCTCCAGGGGAACGAGAGGTTCTCAAGGGGTCTGTGACTGGAGGCTCTGCCTGGATCGGCCGGGAGACACCCGGGAGCAGGGACGCTTCGGGCCGTGTCGCACTCACCTGCACCTTCAGCTCACTCACTTTCTCCTGCAGGAGCAGCTCCACGTTCCTCAGAATCACCTCCACCTGGGCCCCCCGCTCTTCTGTGGCTCTCAGCTGGTTCTCGTGAGCTTCCTGCATGAGGGGAGGTTTGAGACCAACACTGACATCTGAGGAAGAATCACCTCTGGCTTGCGTACTTTAGAGCGGAAGCTAGCCGGGTGGGCGGGTAAACCCGTCCGGAGCAGAACCGTCAGCAGTGTCTCCCGAGCCCAGAACCGCACTCCTCTGTGGTTCGAGGCGCCAGCAGACTGCTTTGTCCTAGGATTTTCAACCTGTGTGACTCCAGACTGAGCTTCCCCAAACAAGTCAGTCTTCCCAAAGGATTTCTGACTCAGTGTCTTTGTTCCGTCAGTACCTATCTGTTTAACTGTCTCTGCAGCTTAATGTTTTCACATAGTGAGAAAGGTTCTCAGAACCTGAGCTTACAAACGTCGGATTTCACCCACCTTTCCAGTCTCCTCTACTCTAGTCCCTTCCTGAGGAAGGGCCCCCCAACCCTCCAGGAACTTCTAGGACTGCCAGTGTCCCCAGCCCTTCACTAGGCTTCCCCAGGCCCCAGCTCACTGATGCCTCTGGGGAGTGCTCTGAGGTGGGCTCCTCCGCCCTCAGAATTTTACAGAACCTAGAGCACAGAGGTGAGGTAACTGTGGTGGCAGAGCCAGGACCCCACCCTGCCGTGTGCACTCCGAGCCCCTGTCCGGCTGCATCTAAAGGCATCTAGCGCAGCGCCTGGCACAGTGCTGTCACTTCGCTTGATCTCGGGTCTCCCCCGCCCCCCACCCTTGCTACCTTAAACCCGCTGCAGGGTCCTTGGACTTGTCTGCACTCTCGGGCCACCCAGGCCTGGCCTGGAAGCAGGTTGTGGCCCTAACGTTAACATTCAGCCAGGTGGCCGACTGCAGACATGGCGAGGCCAGAGACGGCGCCTCAACCCCCGCCCACCCCCAGTTCACAGTGAAAACTGGGTCCTCAGGGAGCAGGGGCGCTGTTGGGCACCTTCCCCTTGGCTCCTGGGCAGCTTCTGGCTGAGACCAGAGCTCCAGCCTCACCCTCCCCACCGCTCTCAGGCCCACATCCCACTCACCTGCTGCGTCTCCAGTCGCCTCCCCTCGGCGTGGGGCCGCAGAGCTGCCTGCTGCTCCCTGTCCAGCAGCTGCTGCAGCTCCACCACGTGGCCCCGAGGCACCAGCTGCTGTGAGTGCTCCCGGGCCCGGCGCAGCCTCAGCATGGCTCCGTGCAGCTGCCCGGGGAGAAGGCGCAGCGGTTCGGGGTGGCCACTGAGCGCTCCCCCTACAGCTCCCCAAGACGGGACGGCAAGGAAGGCCCCCTCACTCCTGCGTCCCTGCATCTCCCGCAGAGCCCCTTTGTCTGAACTCTCACAGGCAAACTGCTCAGCTGGCACATCTGGAGCCAGGAAAACACGCCGGACCCTGCCCTTCTCCCTGTTGGGTACTTCACTGGGGTCTAACTCCTTTCACACTGGGACCTACACCAGCCACAGGTGCAGCCTTCCTCTTGGGAGTTTGTGCTCCTGAGACTTCGCTGCAGCTGGGGTCCTGGAGGCAGTGACACAGAGTGGCAGGAGCTTGGGAGCAGGCACCAGCTCCCTGTGGCCAGAAGCTGTAACCAGCCGCACAGAGCCTGGTCACTTCCACTTACTGAGCACCTGGGGGGCCAGGTCTAAACACCACGTGTAGCACATGGACTCCGGAGGCTCCACCCAGAACACACAGAACTGCCCTCAATGTTCTGCCACTGCGTGTCTCTGAGGGGCCGCCCCAGGCCAGGGGTCCTCCAGGACGGGCCCCCAGAGATGCACCTGCACATGCCGTGTCCAGCAGGGCAGCTACCCTCCTCTCTGGGATGAGAAAACTCGGGAGGGCAGTTCTAAAACACACCTCCACCAAACGTGGCTTCCTCCTATCGCACTTCGGATGGTCACTTGAAAGTCACTCTGGCCGGAGCCCAGCCCAGCCCAGGTGCTCATGGCACTGAGTGCTGTGTCAGCCCCGACCCGTCCCAGAAGTGCTCCTTTCTTTGCACGTGCTGCCCAGGCCCCACCACCTTCTACAGCCACCTCTGCTCTGAGGCCGGCCCCCAACCACACACTCCTCCGGGGGAGGCCGCTGTCTGCCCGGCGTGAGGCCTGAACCCACCCAACTCGGTGCCACTCAAGCCCCCTCTTTGTGGACGGAGATGTGCAGGGAGGCTGGGCTCGCACTGGGGAGCCTGCTCCACTGTCACATTAGAGGGCAGGACATCCTGAAAGGGCAGTGGGGCCACCACCACCAGGAAGCCAGGGCCTCCTGTTTCGGTGCTGGGCGTGGCAGCTGGTCTCAGACGGCAGCTCCTCCCGTCCCTTGGGAGGTAGGCCTGGGCCCGCCCTGACTCCAGGGGCCCCTCGCTGCCCTGGAAGCTCCTTACTTCCCTTCTCCATATTTTCCTCCATGTGTGTTTTGGGGGATCCTCTTCCAGATCACCCAGAGAGGAGGAAGCTGACGGCACAGTGGACTGACCGTCCGCATCCAGCACTGCCTGCCTGTGACGGGCCGTGCGTCAAGCACGGACACCTCTGGCAGCAGGGGGATCTCGCTCCTCAGCCCCAAAGGGCTCAAACTACTCAAGCAATTTCTCAAGGTCCCTTTCACACTCGAAGTAGAGAAGGGAGCCCCCAGACGCAGAGGCACCCGGGGAAAGGCCTGCTCGCCCTAGCAGGAGGGCGGAGCCCACAGAGCCCAGCCCTGGGGTCCACGCCCACGCTGACCCCTCCATAGCCTGGGCCATCTGGGAAGTGACCTCTCTTGCCAGGCGACCACGACCAAGTCCAGTGGTTGGCCCAGGGGCCAGTTGGGGAGCCACGCAGGTTCGAGACCCTCTCCCTGGGCCCTTTCGCTGGGGCAGCGCCCTGGCCCTCCCAGCCCAGCCCACGTCTGAGTCTGCACTGTCACTTCCTTCTCCCCTCCTGCTCAAGCACCCCACTCCCCACCCTCTTCTGTCCCTGCACCTCACGCCGTCAGCACCCGCTGTCCCTCCTCGGCCTGCGTCTGTCCCAGACTGCAAGCTCCCAGCCTCCCTGTCTCTGCACCTGCTGAACCTGGTGAGCGCTGCACAAATGGGGCAGGAGACAGGGCGGGACACCAGCTGGGTGCGCTGCTCGGGGCCTGGGGGGGCCTGGACCTCAGAGGCAACTCGCCTTGTCCCCCAGCTCCTCCATCCGTACAGGGCACCCCCAGAGGCCAGCCATGACCGCCTTCCCTCAGGAGTAAACCAGGCACAGCTGTCCGCCTGGCTCAGCCGAGGTCAGCCTGACCCTGGGCTAGGCCTGACTCGGCCCTGGACTGCTGCCCAGCCAGCCCCACAAGGCCCCGGGCTCCCAAGTCTCGGCCAGGCCATGTCCAAGGCCAGCTGACCCTCGCGGGCCAGGACCCCCGCGCACACCCACCTGATCCCGGCTTTCTTCAAGGGCCTCTCTCAGCTGTGACTGCACCTGTCTCAGGCGCTGGCATTCCCGAGTCACGTGTTCAAGTTGAAGACCAAGTTTTTGGATTTGGTCACCCTGTTTTTAAAAAATCAGTTTCACAAGTCTCAGAGTTACCTTAGCAATGTGATACAAAAGCAAAAATTACGAAATTTACGCCACCCATGATTGCAGCAGCCCAAGGACGCTGTGCTGTCTCGCGTGGCCCTTCCTCTGCGCACACACTTCTGCTGAGTCACGGTAAGCTGCGCTTGCCCTGTTATTTTATTTATCCATTTTTAGTATTTAACAAGCACTTTACTGCGAAAGTAACTTCCTCGATCAAGGACCATGATGCAGATGCACTTTCACCATCCAGTGAACACCTCGGAAACGTCCACGGCCCAGAGGTAAACGTAAGCCTCCAATCTGAATGGAGTCTAAACTGTCCCGCACAGCAGGAGAACATTCAAAGGAAGCTCACAGTTGGTATCATCCTGCTCTTTCTGTGGAAAACCCACAGCAATTTTTTTGGTCGCAATTGGATTTAACAGTATTCCAGTTCTAATGAACAAGGTAAATTGGAGATCTCTAAATTTTACGATCCCAGAATTAATCGGCTCCAAGTAAGTATCAGCCACATCTGTCACCAGTGCCTCAAATGCTTCTTTCTAATGAACTGCCCATTAACATTTCCACAGTTCTGAAAAGGCCAACAGACCATGAAAAAGGCACTTCCTTAGGCTCCTGCTCGAAACCAACAGCTTCAGCAAACCGTTGGCCTTGATTCAGGGCCAGTTCCCTGTGACTCTCAAGCGTGAAACATTGTTCGAAAACATGGTTTTTAACGGCTGCACTGAAACTGGCTGCCTTGCTCAGTGCCACTGACAGCGAAGCTGCCTCCAACGGTCGTGCTGTTGTAAACCCCACAGCCACGAAGGTGCTCCTGCCAGGCCTTCCCACCAAGCTCGGCCAAGTCCCCGATGCTCTTTGTGTGCATTCTGCCAGACTGCCCCCCGGGGAGGTTGCACCAACTTACTCTCCCATCACCAGGATTTAATTCCTTTCTGCTCCTTTTTCTAGATGCCAGGCTTGCAAAAGCTGCTAAAGGCCTCGTATCTTCGGGGCTTGCTTGGTGGGTCCCTCGCTTTACCTCCAAGCACTCAGGTCTGTTTCCAAACTGCTTCAGACCAGCCTGCCCACTCCTCTGCCCCGCCAGCCACGCACCTGCAGCCCCTCCTGGCGCGCTGCCTCTTCCAGTCTCTGCGTCAACAGCTGAATGGTGACGTGATTCTTCTTGTTTTGGGCCTGGTGGGTAGAGGCCTCCTCTCCCAGCTGCAGGACCCTCAGGTTGAGCTGGGACAGTTCATCCTTGCATCTCTGACTCTAGAGCAGAAAGGGTGAGAACACGGATGAAAAGTCGTTTTTCTTTCTGTCCAGCAGCTGACTTCAGATCATCCCAGGGCTTCTCAGCCAGTGGTTCTTGCTTCTGTGGGGACACCTGGCAACGTCTCCAGATATTTTTGGCTGTCACAGCTGGGTGGGCTCGGGGGCTGCTCCTGGCAACCAATGGGCGAGGCACTCAGGGTCCTCCGAGTGAGGGGCCCCGGACCGCCCCAGGAGAAGCAGACACCGTCAACACCCAGCCCCCGCTCTGGAGCACTGGCGTGGTTCTTGTTTCTCCCTTTTGTTTCTAACGTTATTTTAAGCAATTTGAGGGAAAACCCCTAGTTAAACCTGAGGCATGTGAATTTCTTCAAATCTCCTGATCAGCGTCATGAAACACATGCTTCGCACCCCGGCTCCAGGGGTCCCGGGGTGGGGGGCGCTGCGAAATCGCCTACTTTGCTGAAATGCTGGTGGTGACCGTGGGGTCACGGCCCTGCGGGCTGACGCCAGCGCCTGTCATTTCCAGCCGTGTGTCGTTCACACATCACAGAAACCACGCCGTCCCGCCTTGGCTTCCTCCCCAGGGAAGCACCCGCCTCCTTCCTTCTATTGACTGGCCCCCCCGTCCCGCCCCGCCCCAGGAACCCCAGGACCAGGTCGGGAGTGGGAGGTGCTCCCGCCACAGCGGAGCGCCTGGCGGTGTTACTGTCACGTCATCGTGAAGACCAGAGCTGGTTTCCAGTATCGACCCCAGCCCTCCGTCCTTGGAGTCTGATTTCCGTAACAGCAAGAAATGGGATCTTCCTTTCACTCCTGGGACGAACATGTAAGTTACTTTCTTCTAATCCCTCATATTCCAAGCCTCTGCTTGGAAACGTCAGGCCCGCAGGCCCAGGCGGCTGGCACAGAGGGTGCGTCACAGAGGGTGTCCGGCGAGCAGCCTGCCACCCGGGGCCCCCTCCCCCGGCTCCGGCCCACTCTGCTCTTTCAGAAGAAGGTTGTGTGTGTCCTTTTGGTGGTTGAAGATTATTGCAAAATAATGGAGAAGGGAGGGTGGCATCAGCCTCGTGCCAGGTGTCGGGGCTCGACCTGTGTGCTGAGCTCCTCCGCCTCGGAGCAGGCCTTCTCCTTGTCTCTCCGTAAAACCTCGATTTCCTTCCTGTTGAAGAAGCAAAGTCAACAGTATCACTGAGCAGCCAGTTTTTTTTCCCCAGTCTTCACTCACTGTCACCGTGGTGGCTTGGATTTGTACCCTGCTCCTGGACCTGCAGCCACGGCTCTGTCACTGGCCTGGGCTACGGCTGTGTGCGGCTGGTCCAGTCGGGTCCCAGGCCTCAGACCCTGGGGAAGGCTTCCAGAGTGTGAGAACCGACACCCTCCCCGACACCCTCAGCCCCACACGGTACTGACACCCAGCTGAGTAAGTGAAGAGCACCCCAGCCTTACAGCTGCCGCTGTCTGCTGTCAAAGGGGCCCCCGCAGCAAACTGAGGGGAAAACGGTTTCTGCAGGGAAGGAACCCTTCAGAACGACTGTGATGTGACAGCGACCACCCGTTACCCACCTGCTCCAGGGTCAGCCCGTTAACCACCACCCAGTTTTATCAAATCAGCACTGCGTCCTCAGCATTTTAGAGCTGAGTTCACCTTGAAATTAAAAAAAAAAAGACCAAACCAACCATCCTTGGCTGGGCTCTGAGAATGCAGGCAGAAATCCACCCACAGGCATTCCGCGCCTCCCCCACCACCCACACAAGCCTCTCCTGCCTCAGCGCTTGGGCCCGCACCCCCCCACCCCTGACTCTGACTCACTGAAATCCACACCCCCGGAACGCACCCCAGAGAGAAGGTCAGCTGAAACCATTGTCAGGACAAGAACACACAGGGCCCCTTGCCGGGCAGGCTGCCCCACCCCGACCCCCACACAGAACGGGGCGGGGAGGGCTTCTGCAGAGGAGAAGTGCCTGTACCTGGCGGGCTGGCCAGGCTGCAGCCCACACGCTCCCGAACTCCCGCTTCTGAGACCAGGGGCTCGGGCGGGAAGGTGGCTGCCAACACCTGCAAGGAGGTCCGAGCCCTTGCGCACCGGCCATGGCCGCTTGGAGGGCAGCATGCAGGACACCCGTGAACAAGTCCCCTCCCGACAAACAGGCCTTCGGAGCCTGCTTCACAATGAGCAGGCGCAGCCGGCCTGGGCGGGGCGCTGAGCCGGCCTCACCTCTGTGCCCCTTCTGCCCTTTCTGCGGCTTCCAGCTCTTGCTGGACCCTTCCCCGCTCCTCCTTCAAAAGCGCGTTTTCTTCAGAAAGCTTATTCAACTCGATTCTGCAGGAGAAACGTAAACAAGACAGGAGAGTGGGCACTCCACCCAGGGCTGGTCCCCAGGCAGTCGCAGCCCCTCCCGACGAGGGCCCAGGGCACCCTTTCCTTTCCTTTCCTATATCCTGGGCCAACCTGTGACGGTTTGCACCTCCCAACAACAAGACCTTCCTAGCTTCTACGGTGGTCACACAGTCAACAGCTCGCTGAAGCATTTGGCACTTGGCTCTGTGTCACAGCTGGCCTGCTCCTGCATCTTATACCCTCAGCTGGGATGTGAGTGCACCCACAGCAGGCCCAACACGAGACACTGGGCAGAGTCCTCAGGTCGCTGCGAGGCGGGTTGCCCCCCAGGGACCCTAGCACAGAGCTAAGGTGCCAAGAGTCGGAGTGCCAGCTCCCGGGGTAGAGCGCCCCCACCCTGCACCCAGGGGTCAGCGCAGGAGGAGCCTGGGAAGATGCCCAGGTCAGGTGACAAGGGAGACCTGAAGCCTCGTGGAATCTTCAGCTGGAGAAGCAATTCGGCAGCAGCCGTGGGACTAGGTCTGCCTGGAGCCCTCGATCCTGTGGGTGCTGAGTCTCCAGCACGGTAACCCCACCACCGTGGGACAGACGAAGTCTCGGGGCAGCTCAGAACCCACGCCTGCCGCCCAGGGAACCCACCCCGTCTTGCAGACATCTCTGCCCCTACGAGGTCTCTACTTGGCATTAGCTTATTTAATTTTTCAATTTAAAAGGAGTCAGAGCCACATGATCTCGTGTTCAGTTTCTGTATTATTCTTACAATACCAAGCGTAAGTATCTCCTTCGTAAGCATATGTGCAACTTCGGTTTTTTTTCTCATGAGGGACTAAAGAGAAAAACGAAGACACAGAAGTCCATGGCATTTTAAAAGCAGCAAAGGGCTTCAAACTGGGGAGTGACACAAATGAGGTCTGTGTTTTGAGCTGTTATTCCGGCTCCAGGATGGAAAACAAACTGTCTCAAGGCAGGTCTGTGTGGGTGTGGGTGGCAGAGGTTCTGCCTCCAGTTTCCTGGACCTCAGGTAAGCTGGCAGAACCCCACCCCGTCTCCCCACACTTACCAAACCACCAGAGCCTGTGTGAAGCTGATCATACAGTGTGTGTCCTCACAGAAGGCAGTGGAGACCTCCCGGGGCCCCCAAACAGAACAAAATCTGGAAGCTGAAACCAAAGCCAGGAGCATTAAGCAACACAGAGATGGGGTCACCCTGAGGCCAGCACCTGCGTCAACACTGCCACCAACAGTGTGGAGAAACCACACTGTGGCCACCTGTGTGGGGCCAGTTCCCTGGGAGAGGTTAATGTGGTCCCAGATTAATAGGCTCCCAACTCTTGGTAAAAGCAAAACACATCCTTTCTGCGGGGAGCAAACTCCTACAGCTCCCAGGATTCCCAGAGACCAACATCATGCAAACGTGAGCTCACAAGCAAAGATCACCACAACATACGTGGAAAAGGACCACCTATGGGAATCAGAAGAAGCCAGAACAATAGGATTAGACCCCACAGGAACCTCAGATATTGGAATTCAGACACAAACTAAAGGTAAATGTTATGAAATGTCTACTTGAATAAAAGATGGAAATAAAAGATGAACAAGCAACAAGAAGCAATCAAAAATGATCAGAAAGAACCAAAAAGGATTTCTGGGGGGCGGGGGGAATGTCTACGTAAATATAAAAAACACTGGCAGAGTAGACACCGCTGAAGAAACAATTACTGAGCTGGAACACAGAGATGTGCAAAAGCACCTAGAATGTGATGCAGACAGGAAAGAGGGGTTAAGAAGCGGAGGAGAAGTGAAAAGCCCCGAGGTCACCATCTAACTGGAGAGGACAGTGAGGGCAGAGGCAGTGTGTCCTGAATAGTGGCCGAGAGGTCTTCCCAGGACACAGACCTACACACGCAGAAGGCACAGCGTCTTCTACGCAGGGTAAGAAAAAAGGAAACCGCCCCGGGCCCTGAGACCCAGCGGTTCGTCTTCGGTACAGCAGCACCCAGAATGAGACGGGGGCTCCCCAAAGCCCCCCGGGGTTGCTGCTGTCCTGACTGGTGTCAGTGACCTCTGGGGACTGGTTCTGGGTGCTGGGGACACAGATGTGTCCCACCTGTCCACAGTTCTTCCAACTGCACATGTGTGCATTTTCTTGTGTCCGCAACACTTTAATAGAAGGTTCAAAAAGAAAGAAATACACACTTAAACTCCCCAAAGACAAGCCACAGAAGAATGAGAACTTAAAAGCAGCAGAGGACAGGACGCAGGTCTCCTACTGCAGGTGCAGAATCACGGTGCCCCAGCCCAGGACCCACGAACGCGCTGTGACGCTGCAGAGCAGGTGGAGCTAAGGCCGCGGCTTACTGGACCTCAGGCAGGGAGAGCACCCTGCACGGCCCGGTGGCCACGGTGGATGTGAGAGGATGAGGCAGGAGAGTCAGGGTCAGTGATGGGGCCTGAGGAGGACCGACCAGTCCCTGCTGGCTTTAAAGGAGGCAGGGCCAGACTGAGCTGTCGGCACCTGCAGACCAGACCCTCCTCCAGAAGCTCCGGCAGGCAGGCTCTGCGATAGCGAGCCTGAGCTCCAGGCCCCACGCGGCAAAATCATCAACGGTGAGGTTTCAAGCCGCTGACTTGGTGGCAATTCATTCCAGCAGTGCTGGGAAACTGGTGTGCGCTCACGGAGCAGACGGCCCCGGTCAAAGGGCAGAGGGCAGCCCTTCAACTGCTAATCTAGCCCTGCGCTCCTCGGGAGACCATCCTTCGGAAACAGGGGAGAACCTGAGACAGTTTCACATCAGCAAAACCTGAGGGCATTTGCTCCAAGAGCGTTTCACTGAAGGACCTTGAAAGGCGACCACCACAGGAAAGATGGTCCCATCAGAAGGCACCGACCCCGGCGTCCAAGACCAGGCCCACCCGGCAGAACGCCTGGCGGAGGTTCTTAAGAAAGTCCGTGTCCAACCCCCAGAAACACAAGCCACCAAAACTGCCCCCGAGGAAACAGGCCACCCGAGCCGGCCTGTGACCAGTAAGGGGGCTGACTTGCAGCAACAGGCCCGGGCTGCTGGCTTCCCAGGGGAACCCCTCTGACACCTGCAGAGAGAGGCCATCCTCCTCCAGCTCCTTCCAAACCTGAGCAAGGGGACACCTGCTAATTCGTTCTCTGATACCAGAGCCAAAGACACCACAGGACCGGTATTTCTTACCAAAGTGATGCTAAACCCACAACAAGATGCCAGCAAAAATGATCACTGAGCAGGTGCAGAGCCTGGGATGATGAGAAAGTTCTGGAAGTGGACAGTGGTGATGGCTGCACAACACTGTGAAGGAGTAAAGCCACCGCCTTATATATACACTTAAAAATGGTTACAGTGATCAGTTTTATGACAAAAAAGTCAATGTTCAATGACCAAAAAAATTCATTAAAAAAAGACTGATTCATTTTCTAGATTAAAGGACATTAAAGCGAGATGACAACTGAAGGCACAGCACGTTTGCCACAGCCATGACGGCAAGGCACGTCCACATGGTCGCCTGTGCTCTGCCCACCCCCCCGCTTCACCTGTGCTCTGCGTCCCACCCCCCGCTTCACCTGTGCTCTGCCCAGCCCCCGGCCCCTTCATGGGTGGGAAATCCAGGAGGCAGGATGCATGATCAAGGTCCCACATGGTCAGGGACGCCACGCCAGAGGCAGGGACATAACACAATGCCTAGATGGTGGTAAACAGTCCAGGCCCCTCGGGAGCAGTGAGGCAGTCTGGGGATGGAGCCCAGGGGCCTCCAGCTATGCTAACATTTTCTACCTTGAGCTGGGAGGTGCGTGGACATTTATCCCTTTTGGTTTATTGTAAATCCCACGTAACCTTTTGTTTTAAGTGAAGTAACTTGGCCTGGTCACCTGGCCATCAGGGGCTGGTGCCTGAGCAGGGCCCACCCACGTCTGCTGTGAACCAGCGTCACCTGCCTGGACAAGTGACAGAACGCCTCATGGAGCCTTCGTCTCCACAGGAAGTGGGGACCTCACAGATGTGTGGGGTGGGAGTTAATGGGGCCAAAGGACACGGTGCACAGAGCATGAACCGTGTCACACACCTGAGCCCGGCCGTGACCTCTCCCAGGCCACACTCCGTGAGCTGGCAAAGCCTTCCAGAATTCCGGCCTCCTGAGACAGAGCGTGTGCCAGGCTGAGCCCCCGGGCCGGGGAGGGGGGCCTAGCTGCACAGACCAACATCTCTGGGCCACCTCCCCACCCTGAGTCGGCCCTGACAGTGTCACCTGTTCACTACCAGCCGAGTCGGCCATGGGAGGTAAAAACAGTTTGTTCAAATTCTATAAAGTCAAGTGCTTCAGGGACTATGCTCTAGTTACCATGAATTTTTAAAGTAAAGAACAAGTCCTGTAAAATAGCCTGTTCCTGCGGAGCTCACCTATCTGCACCGACAGAACCGCTGGCTAACAGGTAACGTGACTCTTAGCAGTTTCCCAAGTCCAATTTCAAAGTCTGGCTCTTAAGAAACCCTGACACGGCACCCGAGAGGACGGGGTCCCCGGACCTGAGCCGCCGCAGCGCGTCCTGCAGCTGGTCCCTGTCCTGCGTCAGCCGCTGCTCCAGCTCTGCCCTCCTCTGCAGCCCGGCCCGCAGGCCACGGATGACCGCCTGCGAGTCCGCATGCAGGCTGGCCAGCTCGGCCTTCTGGCCCTGCAGCATGCTGCGCTCCAGCTGGAAGGCCTGCTCCAGTTCCTGTCTCTGCTCCGCAAAGCCCCTTCTCATCACCTCCACTTCCCTTTCGTAGGAGCTCACCTGAGAAGAGAGTATGAGGACCTCAGCCGGGGGCCCTAGAAGGGATCTGCCTTCCGGCACCAGGCTGCCAGCAGGGGTCCGAGCCGGTGGGGGGTGGGGCCCTGAGGGCTGTGAAAGGCTCCCCATGGCCAGGTGGCCGCAGGCTTCCATCACCTCCCTCCCAGAACCTTCACTGGGCCCCACGGGCAGGCCCAGCAGGTGCAGAAAGGAGGCTAGGGGTGGAGTGGGGCCGGTGCCTGGCAGACAGCAGGAGGGGGCGAGGGTGGACAGCGCCTCCACGAGGCTGGCAGGAGGCCCAGCGGGAAAGGCCACAGAGGAGCTTCTGGCTGAGGCATCCAGGTGGCCCTGCCTCGCTGCCCCGGGACACCGACAAGTCCTGGACACTCTCCCCGCAAAAAACCCACCACAGCTGAGTAACAGAGCGGGAGACACATTCATCCAAGGGGCAGACTCGGCCAGGGGGGCACTGGAGCGCCCCATGCAGGGCAACCCGGGGAGCTCCAGCTGAGACACAGCTGGGAGCAGCGCCCCCCACGGCACAAGGAGCAGGGCGGTCTGGCCCCTCGAGACACGCAGGTACACATGACCCTGCCCCTTCCCACGGTCCGGCGTTCTTCCCCTGCCCTGCCTCTCTTCCACTTCCTGTAAACCTTGGCCCCGCGCGCTTACTGTGGGGCAGAGGAGTGCCTGGCGGCTCCCGACCCCTCAGCCTCCCTCAGTCCCCCTGACCTTGGCCTCCAGCTGGACCTCGAGGTCCAGGTAGCGTTCCTTCACCTGCTCCAACATTATCTCCGTTGCTAGACTCACTGGAGCGGACTGGCCCACAAATGCAATGAGGCCTGCAGACGAGAGGACACTTCCGCTTACGTCCTGCCCCGGACACCACGGGGTCCGGTCCCAACCCCCACGCTCACTCCTGGACAGCTCCCTGGGACACATCTGCCCTGAGGTCATGGCAAGGTCATTATGCCCTTCACCACTTCTGTCACCCTCGTCCACCTCCCTTGGGGCTCTGGGTTCTGCAAAAACCCCGGTCTCAGGTAGGCGGTTCAAGCTGGCCCACCAGCCGCTGCCACCTCCCCCTCCCCGGGCAGGAGCACTGACCCACCGCCTTCCAGCACCCAGCTCCCACCTGCTGGGCTGTGTCCAGGGGACAGCTGGCCGTCTGGCTGTGCGTGGGGCTGGCTGGGCCGGCTCAGGGGCAGCTGCGCCCGCAGGCCTTCCAGTGCGGCCTGCAGCTCGTCGTTCTGGTCCTGCAGATCCTGTGGGCAGAGCCAGACACCGCCTCCAGCTGCTGCGGCCTTCGGCCCCAGGAGCGCGGTGTGGAGACGGTGCCAGGGGAGCAGCATGGCCCCCAGCTCAGCAGGGCAGGCAGGGCTGCCCCCTGGCCTCCAGGACAGCTGTAACTGCACCCAGGCACCTGACTACTTGGTGAGCGACAGAGAAGCAGGGCCGTCTCCTGACTGCTTATACCCAGCACACCTTCCACCACCGGGGCATGGGGGGCTCAGGAAAAGGAGCTCAGGGAAAGTGAGAAACGCAGAAAATACAGAGAACCATCAGCAGCTGAAAGCACTGGTGCCTTGTTGAAACGCACGGCGGTGCTACGACCCGGGTGGGAGGCAGCTACACCGGGTCTGCCCTGGTTCTGGCCACAGCTGGTGGTGAGTCTGCAACGGGTTCTGCAGTCACTGGCCACCAAAGCGGACAGCGAGTGCTTCAGACCAAAGGCCACAAAGAAACACAACCGTGTCAACAGAAGGGTGGTGGCTAGGTGAGCACGCATGTAAGGGGAAGGGGGATTTGGGGGCATGAAAGCTTAAAAGGATCTTGTTTGTGACAAGTGTAACTGGTCCAATCATGGATGAAATACACCTGAACCAGCACACTCGGTCACCTGACTTTTAAAGGCCCAGTTTCCCAGGTGGTCCCACAGCCGCACCACCTGTCTGTGCCCTGCCACGTCTGCTGTGGGTCCCTGTCCCCACATCCCCAGGCTGGCAGTCTGCGCCCACCCCACCTGGAAGATGGTACAGGGCATGCAGCTGCCACTGGCTTCTCCTTCTGGGACATGCGCTCTCAGGGAGCCCAAACCAGCCACCCACGAGGGCCCATCTCTCAGATCTTTGAGTTTCCTTCCAGGCGGCTCTTGTTAAATAAACCTCATCTTCCTGCACTTCCCGGAGGCCCGTGCCTGGCCTGTCACCGTGGTTCCCCCTGGAGGAGCCTTTCCGCGGCAGCCCGAGGCCGTGGGGAGAAGGTACAGGCCCTGCAGACCTTAGAAGCAGCACAGATTTACTGGGATCCCTGTGCCTCCTCCAGCCTGCAGGAGAGGGCAGGCCTGCAGGGCGGAGCACTCACCCTGCTCCCCTGGCCCCGCAGTGTCGCCACGCTGGCCACTGAGTGCCTCTGGGGTGGTCAGGCCAGCTCGAGGCATGCCATAGCAAAACTCGACGCTGACTTTAAAGACCCGATTCCCAAAAGGGAGGTAAGATATCTCACTTAGAATGTGTTCATACAGATTTGATACTGAAATGATGGCACCACAGATACACTGACGTCAGTGAAATGTTACTAAAACTGGCGTCACCTGCTTCTTCTCACCTGTGAGATGTGACTACTGGAAAACTCGAAATCACACGCCCGACTGGTATTTTTATGGGACAGTGCTGACCTAGCAGGAAGTATCTGCAGAGCCATTTCCACCCAATGCCCTGCCCCCTTGGGGGTTCTTTTTGCCCCTAAACGGGTATTTTGAGAGCACATATACGTCCTGCAAATTCAGGAGAAAGCAGGCTCTTCGCTGGGCGCAGGCGCTGCGGCTCCCAGGACACACGTGGGAGCACGGCCAGTTCTAGTCCGCCGGGCGATGTGTGCCGACCTGGGCCCCAGCCCTGGGTGCCTCCAGCCACACGGGGCGGCTGGCAGGGCTGGGGAGCCAGGTGCTTGTTCTGCACGTGAATCTGGGGTGCCTGTGGGTGCAGAGGGCAGTCACAGGGGCAGGGTGTCACCCTGCTAGCCAGCAAGGCAGCAAACCCACTGCCCACGCTGCAGCGCCAAGGGTCTGGACCTGCTGAAGCTTCTCTTCTCGTTAGCGGGAGGAGCGAGCTCAGGAAGAAAGCCGGGGTGGGGAGGGGGGCGGATTTCAACAGCCGCTTGGAAAACACTGGAGAGGAAGGTGGAGCGGCCTGGCAGGCTGTCTGGGGAGACAGGCCACGCTGAGGCAGCACACACAGAGGGGCGGACCGCCCAGACACTGGCAGTGGAGGGGCTGGTGCGTGTCTTGGTCCGTTCAGGATGCTAAAACAAAAATACCAAAGGTGGGGGCTTATAAGCAAAAGAAATTGAGTTCTGACAGTTCTGGAGGCTGGACGTCCACGATTGAGGTGCCCTTGGAATCAGTGTCTGGTGGGAGCTTCCCAGTTCACAGCCTTCTCCTGTGTCCTCATTTGGTGGAAGGGATGGGGGCGCTCTCTGGGGCCCCCCTCCTAACACTGTCATGTTGAAGAACAGGCTTCAGCATGTGGCTCTGGGGGACACACTCATCCAGGTTACAATGGGTGGAAATGCAGAAAAGAAAAATCTGCATTTATGGTTTCTGACCAGGGACGAGTCACTCCATGAGGGTGTCTGCCCAAGACGGGGCAAAAACACGAAACCACAGAGGACCTCTAAGAAGGATGCAACCAACATCTTACAGCCCCTTTTACCAAAGGCAGCCTCGTCCAGAAAACTGAGACTGACAGTTGAAATGGAAAAAAAAAGAGATAAAACCGTGGTGGAAGTGGGGGTTCTAGCATGCATGTGTGCTTAGCAGGTACGAGGTCATGGGTTCGAGCCCCAGTACCTCCATTAAATAAAATACAAAAAAATAAATAAACCTAATTACCCCCCAAACCCCCAAACAAACAAGCAAACAAACAAAAGCTAAACTGACAGTTGAATAGGGAGAGAACCCAGCAACAACGGGAGCACAGGTCCCGAGCCAGCAGGACCCCCCTCACAAGGGAAGCGGGAAGCGGCAACTCGGAAAGATGGGTGATGCTCGGCAGGGAGGCTCACGCAGCCTCCACTCTGGAGACTGGCGACGCGCCCGGACCCCCGTGTCTGAGCCGTTCCTTCCTGTCAGGAGCCGGGCTCCGCGGAGAAAGGGCTGTTTCCAGGGCAGTCGTTACGCTGGAAAGTTCGTAACTGACTGAACAAGACTCGACAGTCACATGTCACGAGGTCAGGGCTGCCGGCCGGAAGATGCCCCACTGGACAGACCCCACACAACCAGGGCCCCAAAGTGTCGGACACAGTAGCCAACTACAAAGGGGGCGGTGGGGGCGCCAAGGTGTCGGACACAGTAGCCAACTACAAAGGGGGCGGCGGGGGCCCCAAGGTGTCGGACACAGTAGCCAACTACAAAGGGGGCGGCGGGGGCCCCAAGGTGTCGGACACAGTAGCCAACTACAAAGGGGGCGGCGGGGGCCCCAAGGTGTCGGACACAGTAGCCAACTACAAAGGGGGCGGCGGGGGCCCCAAGGTGTCGGACACAGTAGCCAACTACAAAGGGGGCGGCGGGGGCCCCAAGGTGTCGGACACAGTAGCCAACTACAAAGGGGGCGGCGGGGGCCCCAAGGT